ACAGTTATAACAGCTTTTTAAACGTGAAGCATAGCTTGACACAAGTGTCTTGCAGCGATCTACGGGTATCTTCGCCCATTCTTCATGGGCAAAGGCCTCCAGTTCAGTCACATTCTTAGGCTTGCGCACTGCAACTGCTTTCTTTAAGTCCCACCAGAGGTTCTCAATCGGATTTAAGTCTGGTGACTGCGATGGCCACTCCAAAATGTTCCAGCCTTTCCTCTGCAACCATGCTCTAGTGGACTTGGAGGTATGCTTGGGATCATTGTCCTGTTGAAAGGTCCAACGTCTCCCAAGCCTCAGGTGTGTGACGGACTGCATCACGTTTCCATCCAATATCTCCTGGTACTGAAGAGAATTCATGGTACCTTGCACACGCTGAAGCTTCCCTGTACCTGCAGAAGCAAAACAGCCCCAAAGCATGATTGACCCTCCACCATGCTTCACAGTAGGCAAGGTGTTCTTTTCATCATAGGCCTTGTTCTTCCTCCTCCAAACATAGCGTTGATCCATGGGCCCAAACAGTTCTAATTTTGTTTCATCAGTCCACAGAACACTATCCCACAACTTTTGTGGTTTGTCCACATGGCTTTTGGCATACTGCAGTCGACTCTTCTTATTCTTTGGAGACAGCAAGGGGGTACGCCTGGAGTTCTGGCACGGAGGCCTTCATTACGCAGTGTGCGTCTTATTGTCTGGGCTGAAACTTCTGTACCCACATCTGACAAATCTTTTCTCAGTTCCTCAGCAGTCACACGGGGACTTCTCTCCACTCTACGCTTCAGGTAGCGCACAGCAGTCGAAGTCAGCATCTTCTTTCTGCCACGACCAGGTAGCGTTTTCAACAGTGCCCTTTGCCTTGAATTTGCGAATGATGCTTCCTAAGGTGTCTCTTGGTATGTTTAACATCTTTGCAATCTTCTTATAGCCATTGCCCTTCCTGTGAAGAGAAATCACCTCTTCTCTTGTCTTCCTGGACCATTCTCTTGCCTTCACCATGTTTGTAACCACACCAGTAAATGTCTAGAAGGAGCTGAGTATCACAGTCATTTTAAAGCTGCCTAATTGGTGCTTATTATGCTTGATTGCTGCTCGGTGACATCCACAGGTGTTTTCAATACCTGATGGAAAGCACCTGTATGAACCTCTGTTCTTCAGAGTGGTAGTCTTTAAGGGGTTGAATAATTGTGGCAATGAAGAAACCACATAAGAACCATTTACTACTGTATTACATAAACAATTGATGTCATTTTAGTTGCATTTGGGTAGTTACAACGTCCTTGTAGGATTTGATTCTGAATACAATTCCAAATGTACACTATAGTCCCTAAACCCCTTTACAGCATTGGGGGTTGAATAATTTTGGACACAACTGTATATATATATCTCCTGAAGGCTCCCCTCTTCTCTCAGGTCTGGTCAAAGGAATTGCTGGGAAAGATAGAGATCCTACGCCCTCTTGTGGTGGAAATGTGGTCCAGCAGGTCACTGAAGTAACTGGATAAACCTCATCCCTCACTGGAACTGACACCAGGATCACTTGGGGCTGTAAGGATTGAAGCTCCTGAATGATACTCGTACAGTATTTGGTGCAGTGTGTATGCACAAACGTAGCAGACCTTATGGAAGATTCCTCTCTGAGAATTATCCTCAATTCTAATCTTTCGATTGGGATAGCTGGGGCAAGCTCTTGGAACAGATCTGTTACCGTTGATTGGACATCGACGATCGTTTCTGGAAGGCCACGGATACGTAGGTTTGAGCGCCGTGCTCGGTTTTCAAAGTCCTCCAGTCGTGTTAATAATGTTGCGTTTTCATCACACAGGAGATCAAGGTCATCCGTATGTGTCTGAAGCGAGGCATCAAGACCGTCTACTCTCTGTTCTAGGTCCGCAGTGAGTTGTCCTAGTTCACGGATTTCCCTAGATAGTGTGGCAGTGATGAGGTTTGCTTCAAAGCTTTGTGTAGCATTTTTTCAAAGCGTGACAATAGGTCAGGGGCTGTAAGGTCAGGCATCAGGGCTTGTGCAGGGACATCTGTTTCAGTGTCAGACTCACCCTCAGACGTGCAGGGATGGCTGGGCTGCGGATCCTGCAGGGCTGCATATGCCCCTGCCGCCTGCTTGCTTCCACAAGCTGGGGCGGTGGCCATCTTTGTGGAGGCCTTTGACAGGGCCTCTTTGATTGTTTTGGTTGAAGGGGGGACCTGGTGCCGGGGTGCCCCCTTAACCATTTTGCTGCTTGTCGGGGGGGCTGTTATGCTGATCTCAGCCCCCCTGCTCTCTCTCCTCAGCACTGTGTAGACAGCAGTGGGCGGGCCTGTGCATGGCTCACAATGGGGACAGAGTCCCCTGTCGGATTTCTCCGACCTGCTGTGGAGGATCTGCCAGGGTGGATCAGACCCTGGGAGGGTTGCCTCGGGGTTCGGATCCCCCCAGGCTGTATTTTGGGCCGGGACCCGCTGCTCCGCGGCACTGTCACCCGACGGGGAGACGGAGCCTCATCGGGACATGTCTGTCCCGCCAGCCTGCATGCTCACTCAGGTGATGTCATCTTCTGCTCAGGGCACTGCGTCCTGAGATGTCCAGGTTTCCCACAGGTGTAACATCTGCGGTTGTCAGTCAGGAATGGCTTGGCCCCAAGTACTACAGGTGCTGGGTGATGGGAAGCTTGACTCACCGGCGTAGGAGGGGTTACTATGGATGATTTCCCTCCTTTCCAACCATTCGGAGGAGTCTTGCGGTGGTCAGATACCCACGTGTAGACATAGGTGTTGGCCAGTTCTGCTGCAGCTTTGGCAGATGCTGGTCCTCTCTCCAACACAAACTGTCTGACGTCTGCTGGACAGAGGTGCAGCAGTTGATCTTGGATCATGAGATCATCCAGGGACTCGAAGGAGTCAGCTTTCAGTCCTCTGGTCCATGGCCGGAATGTGGTGCGTAAGCAACGTACCACATCCCTATAAGAGTCCCCAGGTCCCTTTTGCAAGGACCTAAACCGCTTGTGGTACACTTCCGGGGTTAGCTGGTACTTCCAGACAATTGCTTCCTTTAGCACTTCATAATCGTCGTCCTGCTCTGCTAACAATTCGACAAAGGCGTCTAGGGCTTTGCCTCGTAGCCCTGGTGTCAGGTACCGAGCCCATTGTGCTTGGGATAGATGGTACTGATAGCAAGTTTTTTCAAATGACAGTAAATACATGTCAATGTCACTGTCCTATTCCATTACTGGAAATTTGGCTGCTGGGCCCACGGCCAGAGAGGCGTCCCTTGTATTCTAGGGACCTGAGGTTCTGAGCCTGTCGCTGCTGCTGGAGCCTAGCCATCTCCAGTTTGTGCTGACAATCAGCTTCCCTCTGCGCAGCCTCTCTGTCAGCTGCTGCCTGGTGTTGCGCAGCTTCTCTCTCAGCTGCTGCCTGGCGTTCCTCTCTCTCAGCCACTGCTTGGCGTTCCGCAGCTTCTCTCTCAGCCTGGTGTTCAAAGAACTGCAGGTATACCAGAGAATCCATCTCCATGATGCTATTCAGGGCTTCCTGCATCTGAGGAGAGTCTCTGCTGGTTACAGCCACTCTGGTGCTGGCCTGCTCATGCTGTGGCGTGGAGGTGACATTCGGTGGTACTCCAGTGCCAGTCTCTGTTTGCCCATCCTGCGGGGCTGTGTCTGAACCACTGGGATCGGAGGTGGCGGGAACCTCTTCAGTTTCAGATTTCCCTGGGTTCTGCTCTGCCTGGATATCATACTCCTGTAAGTCATGAATCAAATTTTCACGATTTTTGCCACGGACATCAATCCCTCTTGCTTCACACTCAGCACATAACTAATTTTTGTTCATTATCTTGTATTCTGCTAAACCAGGAATAATTGCAAGAAAAGATAGAATAGAAAACAGAAATAGGAAGGAGCTGTTGCTGTATGTTTCTTTAAATAAAAAAAAAAATATGCACCACTTGTCTCTAAGGACTGTTTCCACAAAGGTTACAATCCTTCAGTGCAGAGCTAAATCCTAACCATGCATATCCCATGTACGCTGCCAGCCAATATGTGACGGTACGTGGTGTCAGACCCCAGCCCTTCTCACAAACTCGTCACTGAAGGACCAGCTGATCTCACACCGCGCTGTCACTTGCATAACAATGCCACTTGCATAACAATGCCACTCTCAGCTGCGCCCTGCACAAATATTTTCCAGCTCGCGGACCACAATCTATGTGCCAGCAGCCTGAGAGCGATTGTTACTGGGTCAGGTTAATTATGCAATTGACCCTTCACACTGCCACCACCACCTTTTTACAGAGAAGGAGAAAACTCACAAATCTTAGCAGTTACACTATGATATTAGTATAATCGTCTGTAATACACACTGACACCACAGACAGATGTATTCAGAGGATTATTACATACAGTAGCACTCTTCAGAGACAGGGATTCTTTAGTTTGCATTAAAAGCTTTAGAGACAGTTCAACACTTTTCAGAAAATAGGATTTAAAAGGTCAAAATGGTGCAATTAAAATATTTACAAAAAAGATTTAACAAAGATATAAAGATGGCAAAAAACAACAGAGAAATAAAAAGAAAGAAGTTCAGAAGGCAGAATACTTGCAAAAGTCCTTGGTTTGAGCAGAGTCCAATCGTCCGAACAAAGGCTGCTGTGGCTCTCAAGTCCCTTAGGTGGTTCCTGATCGATGTTAAAAGGAGAGCTCATTTTTCTCCAGGCTCTCAGTCTTTTTCTATCATCTCAATGGGGTGTCTCCTGAGAACAAATGGCCAATCATCCCATTTGGGGATGGGTGTTAGGCGGTAACCAAGGTTATGACCAAATCCCTTCCAAGTTCCTACTAAGGTCAATAACCTTCAATAGGTAAAGGTAGCATCCTAGCAACTGGCAGATTAATATTTAGAATTATATTCTAAACGCACAGATACCAAACTTAGCATATCTTTGCCACTCCGGATAAAAGAGACTGCTTTATTTTCTTTTGTAGGTACTGATATAGTCATGCACGGTCTCATTTGACTCATATTAAAATGACCTATCCGAATATATACTTCATATTAATGTGCCTAGTTCCTGTTGAAGTGTATGAATTTGTATGAAAAATGTCAGGAATGGACTCAGCACTGGTGGTGGGACTCACCTGCCGTGTGGGCTGCAGTACCAGGGCTGACCAACGGGTGCTCTCAGCAGCCAGAAGCTCACTCCTGCAGTCAGCCAACACCTGGGGCTGATTGCAGGAGGTGTATTTAAGGAATGACCAGGCCTGTGATCAGGGCCTTGGTGTATGTTTCCCATGAGCCCCTGTACCTGGTATCCTGTGTTCCTGCTTATCTGCCTAGTTGCTGACCCTGCTTTGATCCTGACCTCTGCTGACCGTCTCCTGTTGAACCCCTGGCTTGCCTGACCATCCTTCTGCCTGATCCTCTGTACCGCGCTGCCTGTGAGTTACTGAACCCAGCTTGTGACCCTGACTATTCTCTGCTTGCTCCTCCGGTACCTCACTGCCCGCACGTTGCTGACCTGGCCTGCCTGACTACGCCTGACGCTACCCAGACGATCCATCCATCCCGCACGGATCCAGTCACCACTGTCCAAACCTGCCAGCCCCTTCACATCAGGCTTTCCCCCGGTACATACCCTCGGCAGACCCCTCTACCACAGTTGGGTGCACTCAGGGGCCGCGACCTGGTCTCAGTCCTGTGCCAAGTCCATCCCCACCATCAGGGGCTCTGGTGAAAAGGCAGACTGGGGCTTAGACTCCGCGCCCAGGGGAATCCTGTTCTGTGGGTCACTAGAGATCCCGCCGGGCGGTGCCTGACAGTACCTTACAGCCCGCCTGACCATTCCACCTTTTCAGCCCTGACTACGCCGGTGTTCCTGAAGCCTGCTACTTCCCTGTGTCAGTCCACACATTTCTGGTCATACCCGGATCCCTAACAGAACACCAAGGCCAATCCTGACCAGAAGTGGCCACACAGGGAAGCCATCTTGGCTTGTTGTTTGTGGAGGATGCATCCTAAGGAGGTTGAGTACTTGTCTCTGCTAGTCTTGGAAGACAGAGTATACGGCTATCAGATTCTGAAGAAGTATGCCAGGGATCAGCTGCTAGAGTGCATGCGGGTTGCTCATTCACTAGTGGATCGGGGCATGGAGTTTTCTGAGGTACAACCATTGATCCAGGTTTGTGCTGAGTTGGCTCTGTCCAGTACTCCTGAAAGCAGGGATGACTTTTTTCCCCCATTTAGTGCAGATCAAGTGGAATCACTGGTATGGCTGTTGGATGATCCAGATTGCTTCCATAAGCATTATGCAGCTTGTCCATCACATGTGCTTGTGGATTGCATAAACGCAGTGCAGTCTTTGGTCAGACAGGCAATGTGTAAGCTGAGTTTTGTTCAACCAGTATTACAGTCCTGGTCAGATTTGTTACCCCCAGCCTCAGTCAGCTTGCAACAACCCAGTCCTGCTTCTAATCTATTTCTGCAAAGTTCTATTCCTGAATTCCCGACAGCACCTCCAGTTCCAGCCCAGTATACCCTGCTATCAACCACATGTCAGAACCCTGTTCCCACTCGCTGCACCTATCCTGCGTTTAATCCTGTAAAGAAGCCCTCTGTAGCAACTGCTCCTTCCTCTGTTCCATCTTCCAGCTCTTCTCTGTCTTCAGCTGCTCCATCTGTTTACAGACCTGCGTCTACTTACAGTGCTCCAGTAACTAAAACCAGGAAGAAGCGAAAATTCTTTCCAACCAGTACCATTCTACCAGTATCCAAACCAGTCAGCCTGCGGTCTGAGAACCCGCCTTCTGTTCAGCCTGATGACCCAGTGTACGCTACCCAGCCGGATGATCCTACCCGGCCTGATGACCCGATCCAGCCAGATGACTTGTTGCCCGCTGTCGTGCCAGATGACTTGTTGCCCGCTGTCGTGCCAGATGACTTGTTGCCCGCTGTCGTGCCAGATGACTTGTTGCCCGCTGTCGTGCCAGATGACTTGTTGCCCGCTGTCGTGCCAGATGACTTGTTGCCCGCTGTCGTGCCAGGTGACTCGTTGCCCGCTGTCGTGCCAGGTGACTCGTTGCCCGCTGTCGTGCCAGGTGACTCGTTGCCCGCTGTCGTGCCAGGTGACTCGTTGCCCGCTGTCGTGCCAGGTGACTCGTTGCCCGCTGTCGTGCCAGATGACTCTGTGCCCGCTGTCGTGCCAGATGACCCGGTGCCCGCTGTCGTGCCAGATGACCCGGTGCCCGCTGTTGAGCTTGGTGACCCGATGCCTGCTGTCATGCCAGATGACTCGGTGCCCGCTGTCGAGCTTGGTGACCCAGTGCCCGCTGTCGAGCTTGGTGACCCAGTGCCCGCGGTTCTGCTAGATGGCTCGTTGCCCGCTGACGTGTTCGATGACTCGGTGCCCGCTGACTTGCTCGGTGACTCGGTGCCTGCGGTCGTGCCAGATGACTCGGTGCCCGCTGTCAAGCTTGGTGACTCGGTGCCCGCGGTTCTGCTAGATGACTCGGTGCCCGCTGTCATGCCAGATGACTCGGTGCCCGCTGTCGAGCTTGGTGACCCGGTGCCCGCGGTTCTCTTCTGCTAGATGGCTCAGTGCCCGCTGACATGCCAGATGACTCGGTGCCCGCTGTCGAGCTTGGTGACCCGGTGCCCACGATTCTGCTAGATGGCTCGTTGCCCGCTGACGTGCTCGATGACTCAGTGCCCGCTGACTTGCCCGGTGACTCGGTGCCCCGCGTCGTGCCAGATGACTCGGTGCCCGCTGTCAAGCTTGGTGACTCGGTGCCCGCTGTCAAGCTTGGTGACTCGGTGCCCGCTGTCAAGCTTGGTGACTCGGTGCCCGCTGTCAAGCTTGGTGACTCGGTGCCCGCTGTCAAGCTTGGTGACTCGGTGCCCGCTGTCAAGCTTGGTGACTCGGTGCCCGCTGTCAAGCTTGGTGACTCGTGCCCGCTGTCGTGCCAGATGACTCTGTGCTTGCTGTCGAGCTTGGTGACCCGGTGCCCACGGTTCTGCTAGATGGCTCGGTGCCCGCTGATGTGCCCGATGACTCGATGCCTGCTGACGTGCCAGATGACTCGGTGCCCGCTGTCGTGCCAGATGAATCGGTGCCCGCTGTCGTGGCTCTGCCCGCTGCCCAGCCTGACGTGCCTCTGCCTGCTGCCCAGCCTGACGTGCCTCTGCCCATGTCAGGAATCAAGGAATGACCAGAAAGGTGTGGACTGACACAGGGAAACGCAGGTTTCAGGTACAGTATAATACAGGTTATTATTAGCCACCCAGATAGATAGATAGATATATATACGCACAGTGAGCAATCCAACCTTCCACTAATCTTTAGGAGGTGCAGGAACACAGGCGTAGTCAGGGCTGGAGAAGTGGAACGGTCAGGCCGGCCGTAGGGTTCTGTAATGACCGTTTGGCTGTACCTCTAGTGGTCCTCAGGGCAGGATTCCCCAGGGCGCGGAGTCCAGAGCAGCAGGCAAAGAGTAAACGGGTCACAAGCCAAGGTACAGCAACAGGAGGTCAAACAGCATAGGAGTAGGCAGAAGAATAGTCAGGGATGAGCCAGTAGTCAGAACAGGAGACAGTCAACAGAGATCAGGATCAAGTCGGGTCAGCAACGAAGCAGGAACACAGGATACAGGTACAGAGGCTCATGGGAAAACATACACCAAGGCCCAGAGCACAGGCCTGGTCATGCCTTATATACACCTTTCTGTAATCAGCCCCAGGTTTGGCTGATTGTGAGCTTCTGGCTGCTAAGAGCACCCGCTGGTCAGCTCTGGTACTGCAGCCCACACGGCAGGTGAGTCCCACCAGCAGTGCTGAAAGCACCCGCTGGTCTGCTCTGGTACTGCAGCCCACACGGCAGGCGAGTCCCACCACAGTGCTGAGTCCATTCCTGACAGCCCACTGCCCAGCCTGACGTGCCTCTGCCCGCTGCCCAGCCTGACGTGCCAGCCCCTGATGTCCAGCTAAAAACTGGCCAATAACTGATTCCCAGGCTGCTCTTGGAAATCCTGTGTCCAGCGACCTGGGTTCCCATACATAAAGAGAAGTCTGCCAGCAGGAAACCCAGCCAGCGGTTGTGTCTCCGGCAGTAAGATATCCAGCCAGTTACCTGACCCGGGCGGTGGGAACATTTTGCCCACTAAGGACTGTTTGGAGCGTCCTGAGGCCGCTCCTTGAGGGGGGGGGGTACTGTCAGGAATGGACTCAGCACTGGTGGTGGGACTCACCTGCCGTGTGGGCTGCCAGTACACCAGGGCTGACCAGCGGGTGCTTTCAGCAGCCAGAAGCTCACTCCTGCAGTCAGCCAACACCTGGGGCTGATTGCAGGAGGTGTATTTTAAGGAATGACCAGGCCTGTGATCAGGGCCTTGGTGTATGTTTCCCATGAGCCCCTGTACCTGGTATCCTGTGTTCCTGCTTATCTGCCTAGTTGCTGACCCTGCTTTGATCCTGACCTCTGCTGACCGTCTCCTGTTAAACCCCTGGCTTGCCTGACCATCCTTCTGCCTGATCCTCGTACCGCACTGCCTGTGAGTTACTGAACCCGGCTTGTGACCCTGACTATTCTCTGCCTGCTTCCTCCGGTACCTCACTGCCCGCAACGCTGACCTGGCCTGCCTGACTACGCCTGACGCTACCAAGACGATCCATTCATCCGCACGGATCCAGTCACCACTGTCCAAACCTGCCAGCCCCTTCACATCAGGTTTTCCCCCGGTACATACCCTCGGCGGACCCCTCTACCACAGTTGGGTGCACTCAGGGGCCGCGACCTGGTCTCAATCCTGCGCCAAGTCCATCCCCACCATCAGGGGCTCTGGTGAAAAGGCAGACTGGGGCTTAGACTCCGCACCCTTGGGAATCCTGTTCTGTGGGTCACTAGAGATCCCGCCGGGCGGTGCCTGACAGTACCTTACGGCCCGCCTGACCATTCCACCTCTCCAGCCCTGACTACACCTGTGTTCCTGAAGCCTGCTACTTCCCTGTGTCAGTCCACACATTTCTGGTCATACCCGGATCCCTAACAAAAAATGACTCATGTGGAATGTACGTTTTATGGCATGCTTTAGCCCTAATGGCCTAACAGGTCATGACTGACTGAGTTATTGTTTTACGATTGGGCAGAGGAAAGTGGTTTTTTCAAAGACGATCCCCTGGGACCAGACTATTTAGTGGTTTACAGCCATGGAGCTCATGTAGCTGTGTTTATTTAGGACAAGAGGCACTTTTGAACTCTGTTCACTTACAGCCTCACATTCCATTCAAAAGGGAGGAGGGAGGACAGGATAGACAAACATAGCCGCGACCTAACAAGATGGCTGTCAGTGTCCATGTCTCTATTTCGCACAATCGTCACAATGCCCACCTCCTGGAGAGTGTCCTTCACTTGTCTGGATGTTGTGAATGGGTTTTTCTTTACCATAGAGAGGATCCTGTGATCATCCACCACTGTTGTCTTCTGTGGATGTCCATGCCTTTTTATGTTGCTGGGCTCACCAGTGCGTTCTTCTTTCCTCAGAATGTACCAAACTGTTGATTTGACGACTCCTAATGTTGCTGCTATTTTTCTGATGGATTTGTTTCATTTTTGAAGCCTTACAATGGCCTGTTTCACTTGCATGGACAGTTCCTTTGAACGCATGATGTAGGTTCACAGCAATAGATTCCAAATGCAAATACCACACTTAGAATCAACTCCAGACCTTTTACCTACTTAATTGACAAAGAAATAATGCAGGAGTAGCCCACACCTGGCCATTAAACAGCTTTTGATTTAACTGTCCAATTACTTTGGTCCCTTGAAAAAGAGGGGATGGCTACTCTTAAGAGCTGTAATTCCTAAACCCTTCCTCCAATTTGGATGTGCATACCCTCAAATTAAACCTGAGAGTGTGCACTTTCAGTCCATATCCATTATTTAACTACAGCTTGAATATATTTTGGTAAATACCTGAAAAAAACTAAAATTGTGCCTGTGTCCAAATATATATGGGCCTAACTGTATATTAATAAATTGACCTCAACTTTGAAAAAAAAAAATCCCACTCACTGCATTCATTTTTCAAAGCAATTTTGTAGATATGGCTTGTTCACAGGGGGCAGGCTGTGGCCACATTGCTTTTCTTTGCCAAAGATTAAACTGTATGTCACTTTTAACAGGTGGTACTGCTGCCCACCACGACCATTCAACTGAATTCAATGCAAAGGGTGTGGCGGGATGAATTGGCATTTTGAGGGTTAAAGTAGGTGGTGAAGAGGTGACATAGCGCTTCCTCCCAGCTTGTCAAATGCCTTCTGAAAAGCAATCCACCATGGATATATGTAGCCGCACCTGTGGATGAAACCCTTTGACGCTCTCACTAGAAAAAGTTTTCCTTTAGATTTCCCCTTTTTTCATCACTTTCATTCCCAGTGACAATGGTCACCAGTACAAACAGAGGGTACAATTTCCTAATGGGGAGACAGCAATTTAAACCAGAAAGGGGTTTATATACACTAACTAAAAGTAAAGTTACCATTAATGGTTAAAAGACACTTACCTTGGTGCTGTCCTTTTTGGGGTACAACACTGTGAAGTCTCTCTATAACCACTTCTGGGGCCTGCACATTATTTCAGCAGCTGGCACAATTAAAAAGACTCTAAAAGCCATTTTCTGTAAATTTAAAATAATTTTCTGTAAATTAAAATAATAACATGTTATACTCACCTGCTTTGTGCAATGGTTTTGCACAGAGTGGCACCAAACCTCTACTTCTAGAGTGCAGGGTTGAGGAGTGGGAGACATACAGAGTGCAGGGTTGAGGAGTGTGTTATGTACTGAGTGCAGGTGTGACAAACACAGGTCAGACCACAGCCCTTTTCACCAACTTGTGACAAATGACTGGTCAACATCACACCCGGCTGTCACTTATTTATGACAATAACACTCTCATCCTCACACTGCACAAAGATTTTCCAGCTTGTGGGACCACAATCTAGGTGCCAACAGACTGAGAGCAATTATCACTGGGTTTGGTTAACTAAGCAATTAATCCCTTAAACCCCACACTGCCACAGATAGCTTTGGGCCTATCAACCCTTCACAATAAGAGCAATGACAATTATCAATCTAAATAAACATCTGCACTCACACTGTCACCACAGACAGAGTATATCCAGAGATTTACCGTGTAGTAGCTCTCTTCAAGAGTCAGGGATCTTTAACCACTTCCCATCCGGTCCATGTACATAAACAGTCAGTCAGGAGCAGTGCCGAAGTGGGTTGCAGTTTATAAACGGCACCCGCATTCCCAGCCTGTGCGCGCTCCCTGGGAGTGTGCTGCAACACGATCCGGTGCCCACTGTGTCCAAACACTGATCGCTGTACGGAACCTCTGTGTGAGGTCCCGATTCATGTGATCCCATGATCACATGAATAGTAGTAAGCAAGATGTCACTTCCTGGCATCATTGCTTACTACTAGTAAAATCTGTGAATGATCACAGAGGTCACATGGTACAAGGCTATTCACAACAGCCTTGTACCATGTGACAAGCTGTGACCAATCACAGCTCTCGCAGTATTTCTTAATGGCTGCAAGAATGCAGCCAGAGAGGAGAAATGATTGCTTTTACAGCCTTTATGGGTGTAAAAGCAATCAGTGTAAAAAAGAAAAAAAATCTTCATCACCCCCCACAAGTAGTACAATGTCACTATGGTGACACTGTACTGCTAGGGTGACAGTATGTAAAAAAACCCCAAACAAATAATAACATAAAAAAATAAAATAAATGTAAAAAAAGTTTTGAAAAATTATAATAATAAATACCACCAAAATAAAGTTTTATCTGTCTAAAACAAATGCTAAAAAATTAAAACGGGTACAGTGTTGCATGAGCGTGCAGTTGTCATTCAAAGTGTGATAGCACTGAAAGCTGAAAATTGGCCTGGACAGGAAGGGGGTGAAAGTGTCCGGACTTGAAGTGGTTACGTTTGTGTTAGGGTATTAGAGACACTTTTAACACTTTTCAAAATATTGTTTATTAATGAAAAGGTAAAAATGGTGCAAATAAAATATTTGCATGGAAAAGGGTATTACAAAGATACAACAAGCAACAGAAAAATAAAAAGGAATCTGGTCCTGCAGAGTCTAAATCAACAAGCAAGATGGCTCTCATACGACAAGTGTTCCTTGGTTTGAGGTTAAAAAACGAGAGCTCTCAACTTCGGTTGCAGTCCCCTTTTCTAGACCTCGAGGGGGTGCTTACAGAAATGACTTGACCAATCATCCGGTCTAAGGTGTGGCTGCTGGAAGGTTACTGTGTTTATATGACCATTACCCAGATACAATTTTCTATAGGTATTAATATCTTTGAATACCTACATGTTACAGTCTGCCAACTTGCATTTTATTATTTAGCATTGAATTACCTTCGAAATGCATATAAATATGACAGGTTTCAGATGTCTTCCAGTTGGCTCCCCATCTCGTCTAAGATAGGGGTGTTTAAACATTACTAATTAACTGAAGTAGTTAAATATGCCCCAATTCTGGCTTTACTGTTATTATTTCATTAATTATGAAATACCCTGAATTTATTCTACCTGATTCTACCAAGACAGAAAGTGTATTGATAGAAACTACAGCTAAGGTATTTATGATGGGGGAGATTTGGCAGGTATCTGGTTGTTTTCCTGGTTATTCCAGCTTGCGAATTTGACGGTTTTATGAGGGTTTATAGATTGAAGTGTGGATTTGGTTAATAGGCCTGAGAGGGCCTGCTTCTGTCCTTTCAAGGATCTGATGAAAATGTTCTGGCATTAGCTAACAGTTTGTGTATTTTATGAATTGAAGGAGGAGGGAGGGGGAAGGTCACTGCAGCTATGTCTCTTCTTATGACAAAATGGCATGGGTGATCTGGGACCCAAACAACATGGTTGCCGCATACAGCTTTCCATGTGCCCAATGAGACTGACCATTACAGTAGGGTTGAGGAGTGTTGTGCATACAGAGTGCAGCGTTGAGGAGTGCATAACATACAGAGCGCAGGGTTGAGGAGTGTGCTATGTACTGAGTGCAGGGTTAGAGGGGTGTGCTACATAAAGAGTGCAAGGGTGAGGGGTGTGCTATATACAGAGTGAAGGGTTGAGGAGTGCGTTATGTACTGAGTGCAGGGTTGAGGGGTGTGCTACATACAGAGTGCAGGGTTGAGGGGTGTGTTGTGTACCTTCAAATTCTCCCCCCCAGTACAAAACTCTCTCCCCAGATTTTAGTACAGAGCTTACCCGCCTTCCCCCGTTGCAATAGAAAGCTCTCCTCCCACCGCAAATCCTCTACTACCACGTAGAAAAGCATTAAAAAGTGGGGCTGCAGAAGAGCAGCTTCAATTTACAGCATGTCTGTGAAGGCGGGTTTCAGTAGCAGCTTCTGTGTACATTCCATCCCTCTTCCCTCCACTGTTCTC